GTACCCAATTCTGCTACAGTTACCTGCTTATGCTTTCATGCCACAGGCACCAAAGTTTTCAGTGCTTTGCACCTTAGAGCACAATTATAGTATGTTCCACAGTTATAAATACAATTTCTTTAGAGTCTAGATTTCATTCAAAATAATCAGGTCAAACACTTGAGTTGCTCTGGAGAAGAGGTGTGGGGTTGGAGGTTTTTTTTTATGCACTAGATAAAAGCCTCTAAGAAAATATTTTTAAATTCTTTAATTCTGTAATGTTGCTATTTTTAGTAGCATTAGGAGACAGCTGTGGACACAGAGAGGCAGCAGCCTGGGATGGTTCACAGCCTCTAAGAGACACCCACAGTGTTTCAAGCGAGCCACAACAGACCAAACAGTTTAAAACCTCTTTTCCTTCCCCAGCCCAAGGGTGTAAATGACCTTGCACCCACCACAATCCACAGAGCACCCCAGACTGTCCTGACATCCAGGTGACAGATCTGCTTCTGGGGTGCCACTTCTGCCTGTGAGGACAGAGTGTCACTAGTGGGTTAGAGTAAGATGGACATCGAGTCCAAAGCCTCAGCTTCCTTCTTCCCTAATGAAGTTTATCAACACCCATCGGTGTTTTGAGGCAACCCTTCTCACCAGATTTGGCCCAGCTGGTCAGCATAAACAAATATTAACCCAAGCAGAGTCACACCAGACCCAGAGTGCTGGACAAACGTGTCCTGAGTCACAGAGAGAACACAGATCTCTGTCACCTGATAAGGATGACGGGAACTCCCACCCGCTGCTGTCCCTGCCCCATGGCTGCTGGGGGAGGAACAAACACCCACAGGGAAGGAGGATTATTGGCAGAATCAGGGCTGGTTCCTGTCTCCTTCTTGGCACGAGGATTCCCCACCAAAGGAAGGGGTGTCAAAACCCAGCTCGAGGTCTATGCAGGACAGTGGGGAAGTTTTCCCCACATCTGTCAGAACATGGATTCAATCTGAAGAGCAGACCAAACATCTGTGCTCAGAGGACACCTGCAAACACCTGAGGTTACAAATCAGGAGCAATGCTGGTGTGAGCCACTGTGTGAATCACATCCCATGTGAGTGAATCCCCCTGACCCAGTGTGTTCTGTTAAATTCTGAGTGTCCTGACTTCTCATACAAATACACCTCAAGTATTTCTCTGAGCAGCACCTACAGTTCATGTAAGTCACGGGAAAAGCAATTAAACCCTTATTAGTTAAACCATGTCTTTAGACTCCCAATTAAGTACATCCACTTCTGGGCAATACAGGTGTTTCACTGTGGAAATGTGAATCTATGAGACAACTGTAGCACAGAGCTGCCTCACACCTGACATGAGACAGAACAAGGTTTTACTGCAGATTCCTGCAGTATTTTCAGAGATAAACTTATCTTCATGCAAAACATTACCTAGGGAGTACTAGTTAAACCATGACACAGCTACAAATTCTCCTAAATAGATGAAAAAACCACGAGGATCTCTAGAAGAGATCTGACAGCCTTACAAATAATGACCTTTTCACCTAAAGCTGGATCCAAAAAGCTTTGTTAAATAATGCCTTTTTTTTCCCCCACACACAATGGAAACCATCGTTACCTGACACACTTCAATTAAATATCACACCTACTGCTCTGATAAAAATTCAGCTTTCTAAACAAGAGCTAAAAAGAGAATGTAAAGAAACATTACATGTAATTATTGAAATATACATTAGTTCTTCCAAACTGGGAATCTCTGAGCCAGCTACACTGAAATATGGATTTTAAATCCACTACCATTAGCTACTTCAAACTAATTCACTTTCTCGTGGAATTAAAGCAGCTCCAAGCCTCTCACCCACAAAGTTGGCACACACTCCAATTCAAAGAAAATCATTCCATTTTCTTGTCCCAATACAATTTCCACACCAGCTTTAGAGGAATCCAATGACTTTTATTGGATGACTTTTATGGAGCTCCAGGAGCTCCTGTGAAGGCCAGCCAAGGCCAAAGGGGCTCAGACCCTCTCCTGCCCATCTCACAGGTCACTGTGGAGCTGCAGGTGACCCCTGGGACTCCCCTGCACCCCAAACCCCTCCTGTGAGCCCCCTCCCTCCACCTGTGCTGGGGAAGGAGCAGAGCCAAGGTAACTGAGGGGGATTTCATCCTGGATGCAACAGTAGCAAAATGCCCTCCCCACTTCACTGCCCAGGGTTTCCTCCCAAGGAAGAAACGTTTTCAGCATCAAAACAGCTCATTTTTGCTTCTGCTTTTTGAACAAAGAAGTTCACTTTTGGTTTTAGGCCGAAAGTGAAAGCTCAGCCTCTCCCTCAGCAGCCTCTCTGAATGGAAAATAAATAACTAAATAGTAAAGCAGGATGGTGTGTGCTGCTGCTGGGGAATCAGATCCATGCAGCAAGAAGTCAGCCCAGAAAACAGACATAACTCTAGCAAAGTGTTTAATAACTACCAGGGAAAGACAAAGGGTTTAACCTGTATTTCCTGCACATCAAGGAACAGCCTCTGAAACTTTGGATGTATATGTTCAACCCAAAGCATTTTGGTAGCACTTAATAAAACCAGCTGACAGCTCTTTAGCACTGCCCAAGCCTGACAGAGGTCTGAAGGGGCACTGAGCATTCCTGGGAACTGGAGAAGTGGACACAGACTTTTAGAGGCTACTTACAGGTATTCCTCCCCAGCCAGCCACTAATTTTTCCCCCTAGATTGGCCAAACAAGCTATTTAAAATAATTCCTTTATTCCAGCAGTACTGCTAATTCACTCTAAGTCCTCTGACCACAATTCCTAATGATGCTCTTGGAAATGCTTTTTCAAAGCACATTAAGCTCTGAGTGTTCCCTACAGTACAGGGAAGACACAAAGTGGGGAAGGAACTGTGGGTCTGGAGACAACAATTATTGCCAAAGAGCAGCTTTCACACCTGGGAACAAGCTCTAGTGAAACTATTTACGTGTTTGTTAATTAACTCACACATGGGACACTGCTACAGAGAACCTGGAACACCCAACACCTGCATTTGTGTCACCCACCATGAGCTCTCTCACCATTTCCTGCAGGTGAACATCAACCCTGACTGGGAACACTTGGAAAAGCGACCTCAAAGTCTCATCAAGACAAATTATTTGCAGGACGTGCTGGTGCCAGAAGGTTCTGACCCTAATCCCAAGGCAAACCTGGTAGGGCACCTGAACCACCTGGGCAGCGTGGGGTGCACAGGGCCCCTCCATGACACGGGAAAGGCGCTTCCAGAACTGGGACACGTGTGCTGATTGTCCCTGCTGAGGGACAGCAGGGGCAGGGCAGGGGCAGCCCAGCAGGGCCAACGACCCCGGGGCCACGCAGGGAGGGGAGGGAGCGGGGCAGGGGGGGCAGGCACGGGGCACAGCACCCGGCTGGGGGAGAGGAGCAGCCCCTGCCAGGCTGGGAACGGGCTCTGAGCCCTCTCAGAGCAGCCCCAGCCCGGGTTTGTTTGCACACACATCTCACCACCCCAACAGGCACGTGCCCATCCAGCCACAACTTACCAAACTTCATAAAAAATGTGAAAACAGATGTTTTCAGAACCAAAATACTAAAGTTGGCCATTTCAACCACTTCAGTCAGTTCTGAGGCTGGATTTGAAACGCTGTTATGCCAAACAAGAATTCAATATTCCTGAATGAAAAAGAGCTGCTTCAGCACAAAGCAGGAGCACTCTGGCTACACAGAGCATCTTCAGGAGTAACTTTCAGGCAACTCCGTTCCCTGCTCTCCCCAGGAAGCTCACAGAATCCCCAGGATTATAGTTCAGTGTCAGTTTTAGTCATATCACCAACACATGGATGAAGTGGGAAAGCATCTTCTGCTGGGAGCCAACCGTTTCTTCCAAGCAAACTCCTGAACTCCTCGAGATCTTTCATATTGCATCAGCTTACAAAACACAAGGAATTACTTGCTATTCCCCTACTCCTACTGGAGATGCTTATTTGCCACTAAAATTCGGTATGGAGCTGTAGGAGGAAGGAAAAACCAAAACCAAAAAGCCGACCAAGTTGTCTCACTACTGTTTATAAACTCAACAATTCCACACAAGTTTTCCCCCAACTGTTGATATCCTGACCTCCCCCTGGATTTCAGTTTTCAAAGCCGAGGTTTCTGGGTTTGATGTTCTACCTCTAAGCAGGTTTAGCTAAGTGATCTCTCTGCTCGCCGTGTCTGAAACACACAGAACTCATTCGCTCTCCTGCAGCTCCCACCCTGCAGAACTTTTAGGTCAACACACTTCGGAGATGAGCAGAGAGGGCTCAAAACGAGCCAAACCCCCCGACTAACAGAGCAGCTGCTCCGCAACATCTTTTTTACAGTTCCTGCGCTCACTACACCAGAACACTCCTGTGCGCTGTTTTTCACCCTTGTACCGAGTATCTCCCCTGTTTTTCTCGAGCTACAGCCTCGCTGATAACCCGTGCCTGCTTTTTCCTTGAGCAGTGACACAGAGCCTTTATCAAGACAAACACACACCCGAGAGTCAGAAGATTTAGCGAGACCCTCAGTGCACAGGCAGACGCTGAGTTTTCCCCAAACACCCCGGTAACTCTCACACGTGCACCGCGGCCGCTTCCAGGCTCCTCCAGCGCCTTTCTGCCACAATTTCCCTCCCTCTGAAGCTGCCCCAAAGTCGGGGCGCCACAGCCCGTCCCCGAACGCAGGCTCGCACGCCCCGTGGATCTGTTCGCCACCCCAACAGCTCCGCGGCCCTCGCACCGGCGAACCCGCAGCCCGGGCCGGGGCCGAGAGTCAGCCCCGTCCGCCCCGGCCCCGTCCCGCTGCCGCTCCGCCATGGGAGCCGCCTCCGGCCCGGCCAGGGGACAGAGGGCCCGGCACGAACACCGCCCGCTCCCCGCCGTGGCCCTGAGGTGACCGGGCCGGGGGGGGGCCGGGCCCGCGGCCCCTCGGCCCCGCGAGCCCCCTCAGGCCGTCCCGCCCGCCCCCCCCCCCGGCCCCGGGCCCGCACCAGTTGGTCATGTCGAGGAAGAAGGCGCAGCCGGCGGGGCTGAGCTGGAAACCGAGCAGGCGCTGGAACTCGCCGATCAGCACGTCCTTGTCGGTGGTGCCGAGGCAGCTGAACTTCTGCATGAGCTCCGCGTCCAGGTCCACGTCCATGCCCTCCATGGCCGGGGGTCCCGGGGGCTCCGCGGCCGGGCCGGGGCCGCCTCAGCGCCGCGCGCGCGGGGGGGGCGCGCGGGGGCGGGCGGGCGGAGGGGAGGGGGGGAAAAGTGGGTGCGCGCGCCGCCGCCGCCGCAGGCACTGCGCCTGCGCCGCCCCGCCCCGCGGCGCGCGGCACGCGACGTCACCCCCCGGCCGGCGTCACCCCACGCGCGGCGCGGGGCGGGGCCACGTGCCCGCGGTGGGGAGGGAGGGAGCGCGGCAAGGGCGAGGGGGCGGGGCCGCGCATGCAAATGAGAGCGGCGCGTGACTCGGGGGCTCCGCGCAGGCTCCGCTGCGTCACCGCGGGGCGGGGCGATGGCTCGGCTCCGCCCACATTCGCGCGCTACCTTCCATATATGGCGGCGAGTGCGCGTGTTTGTGTATGCAAATTAGATTTGGTGACGTCATGGGGCGCCATGCAAATGAGAGGCGCAAGGCCCGACGGGAGCACCTTCAATGTTTTTTTCCGCCTAAAAATGATGTTTGTAATGCAGCTTTCGACCGCGCGAGGCTGCTCCGTGCGCGGCCGGCGATCGGAACCACCGGGTGTGTTCCGCGAGGAGAACAGAGAGACCGAGCAGAACACGCTTTGGCAGCGCCGGGGGCCCCACCGAACCCTGCGCGCCGGGGAGGGCACTGCCGGGACTGTGGGTGGGCGATGGTGGCGTGACCAGAGACAGACGGGGGGGAGCGGGATGGCTCCACCTGCCGGGCGGGGAGACGGACACGGTGGAGGCCATACTGTCACTTCCGGGCCCTACGGCAGCCGGCGGGGGTCAAGCGGCGGCGCTGTGTGAGGGCGTCACTGCGCGTGTGCGCCACTTCCGGCTGGCGGCGGCGGGAGCACCATGCCCAAGTGAGTCCGGGAGGCCGGGCCGGGGCTCCCCGGGGTCCCGGGCGGGGGTCCCGGGCGGGGGTCGCTGCTTCTCGAGGGTCCTGGTGCTCCCCTTGAGCCCAGGGGCGCGGATGAGCGGGCGGGCCGAGCACTGGCGCCCTGCGGGGTCGTTCCCGGGGCTCCGTTAACGCTCACAGCGCTAACATAATAAGGCTTTTAATAATAATGGTATTATTATTAAAACAATATGTTAATATAATAATTCATAATTATCAATAACATAATAAGGCTTTTAATAATAATAAAACTTTTCCCCGCCAGGTTTTACTGTGATTACTGTGACACGTACCTCACCCATGACTCGGTGAGTACCAAATCCGCTGCTTCAATTCTTTCGCGTATCAAGAGCAGTAAAATAAAAGTTAGCTCGGCTGAAAGCAGCTCCTGTGGGGTACAGCGGTGTTTCGTCGTGTTTCCCAGAAAAGAAGGAGAACGTGGCATGCCCCTGGTGTTCTCCAGGGGGGCAGTGGCAGGGAGGTGGCACCTGGGGCGGCTTCAGAGCAGCTTTTGGAGATTTAACATTTATGTGCTGATAAAAATTTATATAAATGTTTTGTACATCATCCCTCCGCTGCCTGGGCACAGGAACAAACCTGCTTTATGCTGCTAAATTACACATGTTTAAAATAATAAGGAATGCCAGTAACCTTGGGGTTTCTGCGACCTTTCCCAGCCCTCCGTGAGAAAAACCCACTGCAGTGGCCGGAAGCACAAGGAGAACGTGAAGGATTATTACCAGAAATGGATGGAGGAGCAAGCCCAGAGCCTGATTGACAAAACAAGTAAGGCCAATCTTTCTGTGACCCCTGCCTGCCTCCCCTTTCCTTCCCCTGCCTTTCCTCCAGCTGCTGCTCCCTGCTTCCACCTTGACCTTTCCTCACTTCCCTGGGGAGTCTTTGCTCAGTGAGTCGTGAGTAAAATCTTGGAGAGTGGATCTTGAGTTCCTCAGGTTTTGGGCTGTCCTGGGGCAGCCTGAGAGCTCTGCCTACCACATGAGAGCTGAGGTTCCCTCCAGGGCTGGTGGCAGTGGCTCCATGTCACTGTTCATGAGGGCTCTCAGTGTTACCCTGCAGGGCCTCAAAACAAACTTGTGCTGCTTGGCAGTGCCACGTTTTTGCTAAGAGCATGGATAAGAATTCCAAAAGATAGGAAAACAGACATAAAAATATTTGGATTGTGGCATTTTTCACATGCTGGGGTTGCCTGCCCTCAGTTGCCAAGTGATGTTTTTTCCTGGCACTTAAAGGCTTAACTGAAGTGTGGCATTGATTCCTCTGTCACTTCAAGAGGTCCTTTTTCTCTTTCCTCTATGAAAGAAATGTAAGCACCAGATTAGCTTTGTGGCAGCCCTCCTTGGCTGGTGGGATAGCTCAGGTTGGACAGGACCCCTCAGGATGACTGATCCCACTCCCAGCTCTGTGCAGGACTGCCTGAGACCAAACCAGCATCTTCCAGCTGCTCCCTGAGCTCTGGCAGACTCAGAGCTGTGCTCACTCCCCTGGGGAGCGTTCAGTGCCCAACCACCTCTGGGTGAAGACTTTTCCTAAAACATCCACTCCGGATTTCCCCAAACTCATCCTCACTCTCTTTTCCCTGTGATGCTTCCAACTTCCCCATCTTTTGCCTTCCTCCCAGTCAATACCAGTGGAATTCCTCCCCTTCCTTGCCCCCCTTTTCCTGCTCCTTGCCCCCTCCCCAGCCCTGTCCCCGTGTCCATTCCAGCACAGCATGTCCCGGTGGAACGCTGCGGATCCCGCCACGTGGTTGATTTTTGTTTTTTCCCTCTCCCGCCTCCCCTCCCTGCCGCCCTGCCCAGGGGTGTGACGTCCACGCAGGAGCTCTCTAGTCCCAGCTGTAACAATAATTGTCTCCAGGAGTCCCAGGTGCTCCCCAGGTGCCCGGGATGTGGCAGCGCACGCAGCATGACGTGACCGCGGGGCATGACACGGACGAGCGGCCCGGCCCTCCCTTCCTCGGCCTAGTAACTGGTGTTTTTTTTTTTCCTGGGATTCTTTCTTTCCTTTTTTTTTTTTTTCTTTTCCCCCCCAATGTAGCGGCTGCATTCCAGCAAGGGAAAATTCCACCGACGCCGTTCTCGGCACCTCCTCCGGCCGGAGCCATGATCCCGCCTCCGCCCAGCATCCGTAAGTTTGGGGCACTTTGGGACTGGGGTCAGGGCCCTCTGGAGCTGTTTGTGCCCTCAGCTTGGAAAGAAAAGGCCTTTAGCTTGAAGCCAAGCCATCTCAAGCTTGTGCTACCAGAGTATGAGGAGTTTTGTGTAAGAGCAGCTCAGTCCTTACCGTGTCTGATTTCTGGGATGCTGAGTGCACCAGGAGCGGTGACACCCCCTCATTCCATGGGGCCTCCCGGGCAGGTGGCTCTGTTCAAACTACACAGTGGGTTGGTTTGGGTTGGTTTTTCTAGATAGAAATCCCTTTGGTTGCCTTTTGCCCTTGAGCTGGTGAAGGGCCCAGAGCCCTCCCAGCCCAGAGTGGCAGCTCCCTGTGCTGGGTGTGCACAGCTGGAGTTGGCAGCCAGCACATCCCTGCTCTGCTCACTTCTGGCACCTGGAATCAGGGCTGGAATGGAGGCAGAGGTGCAGCCACTGAGGCATTAGTAACTGCCACGTGCTGTGAGTAGCTGCAGTGCCCTTTGGGGGCTGAGGGTGCCCGTGTGTAACTGTTGTGTCTGTCCAGCTGGCCCCCCCCGGCCCGGCATGATGCCAGCCCCACACATGGGGGGGCCCCCGATGATGCCAATGATGGGCCCACCTCCCCCAGGAATGATGCCAGTTGGACCTGGTGAGTTTGGGATGGGGCAACTCTGCCATGGGGGGCTGGCTGGGGGGTCTGGGGGGTGTTTCCCACCATCCTGTCCCACCCAAGGCTGGGCTGGTCACACTGTGTCACTGCTACCCCTGCATAGGGAGATTACAACAATTCTACAACCACTCATTAAACCCCTTTGCTTCTCATTGAGTCACCAACCCCCTGTGCAGCTGGAGTTACGGCTCTGGGAAGTCATACCTGTTCTCCCTCTGCTCTGAGCAGTGATTGTTTAAGAGTTTGGTGCCTCCAGGTCTCAGGTTTTGCACAAGAGGTGCATTTTTTGCACTTAATGGTTTTTTAGTGTTTAAAGCGTCTCAGGGGAACGTGTTCCACAGAAACAATGGGCCTGGAAAAGGCTTTATCAGAACTGTAAACTAAAATGTCTTTGATCCATTCCACTCCTGAGCTTCCTGGCATTTGAAGAATTCTCAAGGGATACCCTATTGGAAGAGTTCCCAGAACAAATCTATGGGAACACACACACACACACACACACACGTGCACTGAAAGTAGTGAAGTGTCTTTGTAATTGTTGTCTTGCATTTGAAAGTGTTCCTTAAGTGTTTTTAAAGGCTCAAGATAAATACACAGTCTGTGATATTCAGCAGCCTGGTGAAAATAAATGGCAAAATGAGATGGAAACCGTTATTTCAGGGCTGTGCAGTAGAGCCCCTGCTTTCCCCTGGCAGAGGTGCTCAGTGCTTCTTTGTGAGCACATGGGATGGTTTTGCAGCACTTTTCTCCAAATTAACACATTTCCACATCAGTAATTGAGCTGGTGTGTCTCTTAAGTGGCTGGAAATAAGTTGTGAGTGAATATTGTCAGAGTGGGTGTATAACCCAGGGGCTCAGTTCCTCCTCTGCTGCTGGCTGAGCTCCTCAGGGAACAGAATCCATCTCGGCAGCTGCCAGATCAGAGTTTACAGACATGGAACATGGGAGTTCCCTGGAGTAGAATAGAGAGCCTGCCCACAGTGTGAAATTTCCCCTCTCTGAGGGTGGTGAGGCAGATGTTGCTGTGAGGAGAAGCTGTGGATGCCCCTGGATCCCTGATAGTGTCCAAGGCTGGGTTGGACAGAGCTTGGAGCAACCTGGGATAGTGGAAGGCATCCCTGCCCCTGGTAGGGGAGTGGAAATAAATCTTTAAGGTCCATCCCAACCCATGTTTTACCAGGGCAGGTGGTGCTCCCAAGAGCTGTTCTCTAACCTGTCTCTCCCCTGGCAGCTCCTGGGATGAGGCCGCCCATGGGAGGACACATGCCAATGATGCCAGGGCCCCCCATGATGAGACCT